AGTTCTTTCCCATTTGGGCCTCTCCAGGGGCTGTTCAAGTGTTCCCCTAACATGGGGGCTGCCTTCCCCCAGAGCAGGAATCCAAAAAGGAGGAAGGCAGAAATAGCGGTCTTTCGTGATCTGGCCTTCAAAAGCACACGTGGTCACTTTCAGAGGATGATAACAGAATCTAGAGATTGTAACATATCATCTAGAACAACCAATATACAAAAAAAAAAGTCATGTGGCACGTAGAGAAAAGGCAACTGATAAAAAATATTTGCCAAAATGATGGCCAAAATTTGTCCACAGTTGACAAAAACATTAACCTACATATCTAAGAAGCTCAGCAAACCCAAGCAGGCTGAATCCTGCTTGGATGCAAACCACACGTAAGCACCCCATGTCGTCAAACCAGAGGGGCAGGCAGTGAGGACAGAGACAGTGGTCATAAACAATGGCAATCCAAATATCACTCTTTTACAAACTTACCCCCAAAAGAAAACAGTCCTGTGAACACACTAACTTGCCCAGGTCTCATGCAGGGGTCTCCTTAGCTTCAAAGCAACTGTGCCTCTGATTGGGACCCACCAAGAGGGGGGTCATGGAACAGGGAACAGCTGACCAATGAAAGGAAAGGATGGATGAAACTTTGACATGTGACAGAGGGACATGGCAGATTGGGGGGAAAGAGAGACAATTCAATAAGGAGGCCTGGGATGCTGGGTTATCCATAAGGTAAAAAACAAAAACAAAGTAAACACAAAAAATGAATCTGGGCTTGTACCTCACACTACATGCAAAAATTCCTGGAAACTCTAGATGGATCAGTCTTAAACAGTGAAAGAAAATATGTAACTCCTTTGGTATAAGATATAAATGAATACCTTCCTGACCTTATATTAGGAAAGACCTTGCTAAAAAGGCCAGGGGAAACCTGTTAGCTGTCAGAGGGAAGATCTGTTTGCACTAAAATGTAAACCTTCTGTTCGTCGAAAGACACTAAGAGCACCCAGAATGAGCCTGAAGGAGAGCAAGCTGCAGGCCTGACGGTGCCGCGTTCCAAGCCCAGTTACAAGCTGCAGTCATTAAAACCGCTCGCTATTGGCTCAAGTATAAACAAAAAGACCAAGCAACAGAAGAGAGTCCCACGCACACCTGGCCACCTGACTTCCAACAAAAGCACTGCTGCAGTTCATGGGATATGTTATTTGCCTCTGCAACAAATTCTTGTAAACTCAGTGGCTTAAAACCTCCCAAATTTATCATCTTAAAGTTTTGTAGGTCGGAAATATGACACACGTCTCGCTGGTCTAAAATCAAGGTGTTGCCAGGGATGCATTCCCATCTGGAGGCTCTGGGAGAGAATTAATTTCCTTGTCTTTTCCAGCCTCTAGAGGCTGCTTGCATCCCTTGGCACAAGGCCCCTTCCTCCATCTTCGAAGACAGCCACAGCTGCCTGAGCCCCTCTCACACGAAATCACTCTGACCACCTCCTCTGTAGTCACATCTCCCTCTGCCTCTCTCTTCTACCTCCCTCTTCCTCCTCTGGCAGCCTTTTGCTTTGGTTGGAGTGGGGGCTGCATAGGTGTGTGCATAATGGAAAAATGTTTCACATTGTATACTTGGGACTTGGCCACTTCACCTCACATACGCTGACGTAAAAGTGAAAGTTAATTTTAATTTTAAAATTAAAATTTTTAATTTGAAAGGTTTACAAAAAGGTTTTCCAGTAAACCCAGGATTCCATTATGAAGAAGCAATGAGAGATGGGGGTTGCAACAGGAAGCCAGGAGGCACAACCTCAGTCCCATAGACCCCATCCTTGGGGTCTCAAGAATCAAACGCATGTCCCTCCCACATCACAGCCCACAGCCACCATCTTGGTTGTGCAGGTTGTTCCATGCCTGTGCATACATAAGGCTGCTGGAGGAAGACATACCTTTCCCCATGGTGCTCAAAGGCACCTGGTACCTCTCCCCAAGGACCTTACTCTCCAGCCCTGCCTCAGGCCCCTCTCCTGGGCTCACACCCTTGCCCTTGCCGTGGCCCAGAGCACAAGCCATACCCACCACCCCCGTTGTAAGCATCCCTCTGTTGCCAGCTTACTTGCTCTGGTACCCAACTCCAAACTCCCTTTAGTCCTAGCAGGCCCCACAGGTCAGTGATCTTGCCACCTTTCACTGTCCCAAGCCCCCCTCCACCTCCTCCCCAGTTCAAACTTCCCAGTCAAGACTTATGTAAAGCTGCTCCCTTGTGCACACCCTGACTCCATGGTCCCTCTCTTCCTCTTCACACTTCTGGGTAAAACTCTAACCTGGTCCTATCCATTCCTGCCTGTCCCGCACCTGAGCATGGCCGGAGTATAGCACACAGTTCTGCCCAGTGTTCCTCTGGTACCCTTACCCCTAACCCAACCTTTAACCTGACGCCTTAGCTTATTCCCTAAGCCAATCTCTAATCTGACCCCCTAATCAGATCCTAATTTCTGATTGACTGATTCTTTAGCATGATCTCTAACCTGACTCCTTAACCCGATTCCTAACCTGAGTCTCTAACCTCCCTAACTGGGGCGTTTCCGCTGCCTGGACATCCCACCCTGTTACTCTAGACTCTGTCATCTGTGTAAATGCACAGTGATTGTGGAAGGTTATGTACAGTATGTGGAAGAACAGGGAAGAGGAAAAGGGAGCCTTGCCAAAGGAGAGAAAAAAGAAAGAGGCAGAAGGAGTCCACGACTTTAAAACAACCTGCTGCACCACAATTGTGTGTTCTCAGACTGCTTCATGAAGAGACAGATGTGCGGGAGGAAGGCAGCCACTCATCTGGTATTAGCCTTTCTGAGTTTGTTACTTATTTGCAAAATTGGGGTAGAAATAAAACTTGCCCTGTAAGTTGCCTTGTACCAGATGTCCACTTGTTTCTTTACTTATTTTTATAAACTTGAAATGGCTACAATTAGCACATGTTCTTCAGATAATCAGAAAACCCAATAAAGTTACTGATGGTTGAAAAATGAGTTTCTCTAAGACTTGACCCTGCCCAGGCTGCAGAGAGCATCAGAGGTGGTGCCCAGAAGCTCCTGACGCAGCATCCCTGTTCCTCTACGAAGACCCAAATGTGGCTTCTCCCTTCCACCCGACCTGGCTGGCCCAGGGGTGAGGCATCCCAAGTGCAGGTGAGCAGTGTTGCTACCCGACCCCTGCAGTGTCCTTCAAAGTCCTGTTACAAACAGACATTCATGCCCATTGGTTGGTCACTGCCTCCTGCTCGGTCCTGTCTCTGGCCAGCTGGGACCCTGAAGCATCATCAGGGACCAACTTTGATCCTTTCCCATCTGTAGGGTCTCCCTCTCTGCCCCTCAACAGCTTTGGGACAGGGCCCTGAGGCGCTCAGGGCCAATGTCAGCTACTAGTACTTAGACAAGTGTACTCCTATACTTTGGGTATTAAAAGGCCAGTCCTGTCCAACCCTGAGCACCTGTGGACCCTGCCTCAGGCCTGGCCCAGGGCCAGGGGACAAGGACTATCCTTCCTTGTCCCTCCCCCATTGCCTCCTGGGGGATGGGCAGGGAAGGAGCATGGCTTTAGTTTGTGGGCAGTGGAATCTCGGTTTCAGGCATACGAGAGCTTCAATGAACCCTGCACTTGATGTCTATGGCACTGACTGCCCAGTGCCAATATAAGCGCTTCACATCATCTACAAAGTGCCCTGCACTAACGAATGCCACCCTCTCCACCTGTGATGGGGACTCCAGCCCCATCCCAGTCCAGCACCTGCTGGTTCTGGCTCAGGCAGGTTCAGGAAAACCACCACAGGCAGGCTACTTCTTCCAGATGGAGAGGGCTGAGTGCTGGGGGAGCCTCCTAGGGAGAAGTGCTATTCAGCCAGCCCTGAAGACTGGGGAGCCTGCTGTAATCTGGACTTCCACGCTCCTGCACGTCAGAGGACAGGCACGCACTGAGCGTGCACTGCAGGAAACTGCTGGGGTTACAGCAGTGAACAAGACAGACAGGCAGATGGGCGGGAAGGACTGCAAAGACCGTCCAGGCAGAGGACCTGAGAGGAGCACAGGCTGGGGAGTGGGAAGCAGGGTGGGGAGTCCGGGGACGGGCTGAGGCACAGGCCGGTGGGAGCGAGCTGCTGGGAAGGCCGTGTTCCCTGGGCCCCAGAGCCGCGGATCCCAACTACCCCGGCCTGCTTTCCGGGCACCACCTCAACGATCTCCCCACGACCACCGCCAACACGACCGCGTCTTAGGGAAGGGAAGGTGGAGCTCGAAGGCCACGACTGCCCGGTCTCTCCCTCCCGAGGGCAAGCGCTGGAGGGGTCAGCGGGGCGGACCTGCGCGCTCGGCCCAGCCCCAGCGGGCGCCGCCCTGGACCGGGGGCCCCGGGCCAGACGAACCCGGCCGCTGGCGTCCCTCAGGCCCCCGCAGGCCTCTGCTGCGCGTCGGCGCGGCGGCCTAGATCCCACAGCCGCGGCGCGGGCGCGGGAGGGCCCAGCACGCATGCCCCGCCGGCTCCCAGCCCGCGAG